AGCTCCTCAAACTGGCTCTGATGGGATGAAGGGCATTCCTCATGCCCATTCTAAACACTGCCAGGGAGGTATGCCAAGCACCCAACACTGAGTGCCAAGAGTTTACCCTCCCTATGGCCTGCTCTGTCCACTCCATGCAGTAGGCAGTGCCAATGTGGAAAGCCATCATCAGCCTGTCCTGGCTTCTGGGATTGGGGTTTGGGTTTTAAAGTCCTGGGTCTGGAGTCCTGGATCTGGGATCTGGGTTTAGAATTCTTTATCCCGGGTGTTGGGGGTCTGGTTTTAAGGTCTAGGTTTGGCATATTGAGTTTTAGAGTCTGGATTCAGGGTTCAGGCACCAAGACCTGGGTCTGGGTCCCGGGTGTGGAGCTTAGTGCTGGACTCTGGCTTTTGGGTTCTGGATTCATACTGTGAACCCTGAGTCTGGGGTCTGGGTTTAGGCTTTCAGGTTTCAGCTTTGGGGTCTGGGTTAGGATTCTAGAATTGGGTTTGGGAACCAAAGACTGGTTCTCATCCCTTCAATGCCCCCTGCTGGCCAGTCATCTCTAGGCAGCCTCTGCTTCACTGTTTGTGGGCCATCCTCACACACCCTTACCTCTTCAGGCTGTGGGAGTGACTTCAGCCTATCCTGGGGAGTGAGGAGCAGGTCTTGAATGAGTTGGGCACTGAAAGAGAAGGGCACAGGAAGTGGATAATGGACTTGAAGGCTGTTGGCTGCATATAGTGTTGAGAGGGACTTTGTAATCATCAGAGCATCTGCCAATTATTCTGCAAGCCCCTCCATCTCCCCCAACTCCAATTCCAGGAATGGGCTTGGGACTTCAGTAAGATTCACACACACACATATTTAACTTTATTTATTTTTATTTTCTGTATATGAATGTATTGCCTGCATGTATGTCAGTGCACCTATGTGTACAATGCCCATGGAAGTCAGAAGAGGGTGTTGGATCCTCTGGAACTGGAGTTACCAATGATTGTTAGCTGCCATGTGAGTGCTGAGAACTGAACCCAGGTCCTCTCTAAGAACAGTCAGTACTGTTGACTGCTGAGCCATCTCTCCAGCCCCAAAGTAAAAATTTTATAAAGATTTATTTTTATTTTTATTTATGTGTATGTGTCTGTATGAGTATATGCCATGTGTGGGTTTAACAGCTGAGGCCAGATCCCCTGGAGCCTGAGTTACAGGTGGTTGTGAGCCATCTGATATTGGTGCTGGGAAATGGACTTGGGTCCTCTGCAAGAGCAGCAAGTGCTCTTAACCACTAAGCCATCTCAGTGGTTAAATTTTTAAAAATTTGTCTGTTATTATTATTATTATTTATTATTATTATTGATCTTTTTCAGTCAGGATCTCCTTGTAGTGGGGCTGGCCTGGAACTCACTATGTAGAAGAGGCAGGCCTTGAATGCATAGAGATCAAAGATGTGTGCTACCACACCCAGCTATTTGTTTATAGATAGGGTCTCTTGTAACCCGAGCTGCCCTCAAGCTTACTTGTTTAGCTGAGGCTGTCCTTGAACTCTTAATCTTTCTACTTCCACCTTCTGAGTGCTGGGATTACAGGTGTGTACCACACACTTGGTTATTGGGAGGGGTTTTAATACCCTGTGAGAGGTAGGTAAACTGAGAGATGTGAGGCATGTGTTCATCCAATATTTATTGAGTGGCTGCTGTGAGCCAGGCTCTGAGTACGTGACAGTGGAAAAAAGTTCCTGCTGTGGCAGCTGACACTCATGGAAGGGGGTAAGAGAAGGCACACCTATGTGACAGATAAAGAAACAAGCTGATGTTAAGGTGTGGGAGGATGGGGATTGGGGAGACAGGGAAGAGGGATCAGGGTGGTCTGAGGAGGCTTCTCAAAAGCATTGATGTCTGAGACCAGGGAGTGAACAAGAGCTAGCTGCTAACAGAATCCTAAACAAGAGCATCCGAGAGAAGAAAACAGAGTGGTGGAAAGACACTTAGAAGGACCTAAAAAGAGGCTAGTGTGGCCAGGGCTCTCCTGCTTAGGCCCACAAGCCCCTCAGAAGTCAGGGCTGGGGGGCAGAGCAAGGTAAGGTAGCTGTCCCCCAACAGGGCTGTGGAACTTAGCTTGTGGTCTTGGCATCGGGCCGGGCCACAGCTCAGACCTCAGAGCTGGGGGAGCCAAGGGAGAGGATTCAGACTCTTGCCCTTTGGCTTTCCAGGCCCCTCAGACTCTGCCAGGATCCTGCCCGCTCAGCTGCTCTTCCTGGAGGGTGTAAAGCTATGGCTGGGACCTGGGAGCTGAGTGTTGGCATAGCTTGTTCTTGCTGCCCACTCCCAGATCCTTGCCTGTTCACTTTCCCGCTTGCCCACTATGGTCTTGCTCCTGGCTGTAGACAACCAATCCCATGGGCAATATTGTGGGCTGGCCTTAGGAGGGCTCTGATAGAACCCTTGCTGGGTGCTCTGTGCCTGTTATAGGGCGAAGGGGATTGCTGGGGACCAGCCTGGGTACTGTTGTTGCAGCAACCAGTGGGGCAAGTAGAGAGTCAAGAGTTCAGACAGAAGCCTGGCCTTAGCCCCCATCTGAGGCCTGGGGAGGAGGGAAGAGGTTCTATGCACTTCCTCTACAGGACTACAGCTGCACTATGTATGAGGGAAGGGGATCGAGACACCTGTATGAGGGAAGGGGATCAAGACACCTGTATGAGGGAAGGGGATCGAGACACCCTCTCCTTCTCACCATCCCAGGGAGGAGAAGATAGTACCATGAGGCCCTGAATGTCTGCATGAACTCATTGGTCCGGATCACAGACCAGAAACGAGTCTCAGGAAGTACATGCATTCACTTATCCCTGTTTGAACTGCCATAAGCTGCTTTCTACAGGATGACAGTACGAGGGTGAAGGGAATAGGGTGGGGAGTCTGGGCCACCCTGTGTACATGTCCTTTGCCCTGGGCCTCAGTTTTGTCCTCATAAATGAAAGGGGTCTGGGTGGTGCCTTGGCTGTGCTTGTGAAGGTGGCTTATGTCACCATGGGATGTCTAGAGCCAGCAGTGCTGAGAGGTGCTGTGGGTCAGCGGGCCTGGGCGGTCGGGCTGCCCCAGAGCTCGCGCTCTCTCTCTCTCTCTCTCTCTCTCTCTCTCTCTCTCTCTCTGTCCCCCTCAGGCTGTCTTCTCCTTTTGTGGTATTTTTGGTGTCTTTGTGGACCCTTCCCCCACTTCTTTCTTTCTCAATACTCTTGCCAAACATCTGGAAGAAAAGTGAAAAACTTACCCCCCTAGCCCCGGATGTTGTCAGATTTCCAGATGTGGGTGTTCTGCCCTCCAGATGAAGGGAGGAATGTTCCAGCCATGGATGGGGGGCGGAGGCGGGGAATGACAGCCCCGGACTGTCATCCCTTCACTGTAGGGCTGAGTGACAAGATGAGAAGGACCAGGGTCCAGGAGGAAGCCATTAGGGCACCTAGGTTGAGGCCCTGATGCCTCATTTCAGCTTGAGCCACACCCTTCTCCACGCCTGGGACGTTCCCTTGGGGTTTGGGGTGGGGGGCCCTGTCTCTGAAGTTTCTATCAAAGGCTTCAGGCACTTAAAAATAACTAAGAACACCCCCTTCTCACCGCCCCCCCCCCCGGCACAGAGGCTGGGGGGGGGGCAGAACTCAATGTGTTTGCAAGATGTCTTTGCTCTCTGAATTTGTATTGGAAGGGCCTCCTGCCACCTCAGTCTCTCCATCTCCCCAAGTGGTGGCCCAGCCAGGCTGTGTTATGTCACAGCCATCTGACAAGGCTGGGCACCAGGGGAGCGAGTGGTTCCAGGGACTGGACACTGTTTCCTGAACCCTGGGGGGTTGGGGTTAGATCCTAGGAGCAGGCATTAAGGGGTAGGAACCGGGGTAAGAACTTTGAACTGGGACCTAGGGCAAACCTTTCCCAGTACCTTGAGGTCCCTCAGAGATGTAGGACCCTCTGGAGGAGTATGGGGTAATGAGTGTAGTGGCAGAAAGTTTCAGAGAGGGGCCAGTGGAAGAGGAAGCAGGGAGGCGCAGAGGTTCAGTGGGAACTAGGGGTGGGCAGAGAACTGGACCCCAGGGTGCACAGGGGCAGATGAGTGACTGGGAATTGCAGGGAGAGGCAAAGAGAAGCCAGGGGGGTGAAACCTGAGACTGGTCTCAGGGGTTGGCTGACAGGCGCCTGGATGGGACAGTGGAACTAGCCTGGGGGATGGTCCTTGAGGGAGTGGCACCCTTTCTGGAGACTCTGGGAACCATGGCTGGGGCTACAGCTGTCTTCCACTGCCAGACACTCACACCGGCACATATAAACACCCAGACATAAACACACAGAGGCCACACCACAGACACATTTACACAGACATACATGAATGAATGTGAACTGCCAGAAACAGACCCACAGACACAACACACAGACCCTCTCTTCAGATCCAGCCCAACACCTACAGACCCCAACACCCACAGACCCTGCCACGGAGACACCCAGGCAATATATACAGATGCCCAGAGACTCCCCAGTCATGCACACAGATAGAGACCCCTACATGGAAAGGTGCCTGGACACAGATCCACACCTATCTCCCTTAGCCCGGTATAGCACAGATGCCAAACAGAGCATGGGATGCCCCGTTGCAAAGTCTGAGTCAAGAATGGCTTTTTGATCATCCCAACCCCCATCATAGTATGCAGCATGTGGCACACATTTTTCCAAACTTCACCTGTCCAAATTTATTGACCTGTAGAAGGGCAGCAGGGTATATGTGTGATTGTGTGTGTGTCTGTGTCTGTGTCTGTGCTCAGAACACAGGCTGGGCAATGCCTTCTGCCCTCCTCCCCCTCCCTCTCTCCAACAGGTGATTGGGAGGAATGGAGCACCCTCCCCTCTCCCCCACCCATTCCTGGGCCTGAACAATGCCCTCCCTAGGCCCCAAAATAGCCCCTAAGCAGAGCCAATGTCCTTTTATGGCCCTGTCCCTATTGTGCATGGTAGGGGTGGGGCTGGGGTCATGAGGTATCCAGACAGGATAAAGTCCCTGGTTGTGGGAAGTTCTCACCTACCCTGTTCTCTGCATCCTTCTCTGTGATTGCAATCCCCATGGCTCCCAAAAAGCCAGAGCCCAAGAAAGAAGAGGCCAAGGCTGCCCCCAAAGCGGCTGCAGCCCCTGCGCCTGCACCTGCACCTGAGCCTGAGCGCCCCAAGGAGGTGGAGTTTGATGCCTCCAAGATTAAGGTAAGGGAGCTGGTTGTGGTAGGAGGGACAGGGCAGGTAGTGGATTGCAGACCTGAGCTAAAGCTTGCAGCTTATATGCAGAGGTCAGACAAGGCCTGCCTGTTTCAGGCATCTGGGGGGCTGCAGTAGGAGGGGTGGTAGCCAGACGGTAGGCAAGATGCCCGTGGTACTGCCAAGAGGTCCATACACTTCAAGAGTAGAGTCTGGACCAGTGTTTGAAGGGAATGCCTTTTTGGTGGTTTTGGAAACCTACATTCCTTTCCCTTCTCCCTTGGACTTTCATATCCATGGGGAACCCTGGAGCCAGTTGTTCCCTACCTCAAGATCCCTATAGCTGGGGAGGGATTTTCTTTGTCTGGCTGTGGGGGGTCTCAAGTTCATGACAAATCTCCTGGGTGGAGGGAGTAGTGTGTAAGGGAAAGTAGGACCTTGCCCAGGCTGGGCGGCTCTCACCTCTGCCAAGATCACCAAGCCCAGAGTTGGCAAAGCCTTCCTGGGCTTCACTTTTAGCTGGAGAAATGAAGGTACAGGCTGGGGAGGGAGCTTCTGAAGTCATGCAGGAAGCTGATAGTGGAGCTCGGCCAAGAAGCTCCAGGAGCCTTTCCTGGCCCAGATGTCTTCCCCAGAGTCTAAACTGGGAGGTCAAGCCATGCTTGCCACCTGTGGCATCTGCATAGTAGCACGCAGCCTGTGTCCTGCCTGTTCTTGGTTGGCCAGTGGCCACTGCTGCTCTGGCTGCCTCCTGAGATGCCCCTGCAGTCCTCTCCACCCCCACTAATATCCACTAATCCCTGAGCCATTGTTATAGAGCTTCCATCTGGTCATGAGTCCTTCCCAGGGGCCCCTGCCCATGCCCCTTGGGTTCCTGTCTCACTGGTCTCTACCTTAGTTGCTCTGAGTCTTTGCAGGACTACTGTACCCCAGAGTTGGCTTCTTGTCCCTCTGCCACCCATAGACCTGAGATCTGTGTCCTGTAGGATGCCTGGTAAGGCTCCAACCACCTTGGGACTCATGGTGGCATTGTCCAGTCTCACTAAATAAGAGGTTGGCACAGGCTCCTCCCTCAAAAGTAGAGTGATGTCCCCTCCTGCTCCCTCTTTCTCTCCTCCCAGTTGTCAGGGAAGGGCAAAGTTGTTGCCAGCAGCCAGGGAGCCCAGTCTCCCCAGGTTTTCTCACAGACAGCTCTCAGGGAGCTTGGAATAACCAATTATTCTCAATACTGGATTGAGTCTCAAGTCAGGAGGGCCACCCATGGCAGGTGGCAGAGATGGAGTGTCCCTCTACACCACTGTGCACATTGGAGGTTGGTGAGGCGCCAAGGTGCTCGTCATGCCCCCTCCCCCTAGTTCCTTTCCATAGTGTGACTTTGACCTTGTGGAGAGTGACTGCAGTGATAAAAATAGACCTGGAATCAGGTGAGGAGGGGGACACTGGGTCCCAGGAGGCCTCCTGACCTCAGAGTGGCCCCATTATGGCCTCAGAACACCCTCAGTAACACAGCCCTGGCTCTGTGCTATGCTGGGATTGGGGAGCTGCCCTGGGGCTATGGGTAGAATGGGACAGTACCCAGCCTTGAGGGGCCCAAGGGACTCTGTGAGGGGCAGATGTATGAACCTGTACATGCATGCATACATTCTCACTTACAGACATACTTTCACGTGGACACAGCCTCTGGCCTGGGGCTTCATGCTTGTTCTTCTCTGCAGTCAGCCTAGTCACGCCTATGACACTGGACACATTAGTCTAGAGCCAGGGACCAGGGAAGGTCCACTGTGGGCTAAGTCCTTTGTCTTCATCACTCTCCAGCTATGGCCCACTTGTTATGACAATCTGGTTACATAGAGGCACCCAAAACCCTCAGGTTAGACCCTCATGTGTGTGAGAGGGGGAGGGTGTGCAGAAGCAAGAGGGTGTCTAGGTAGATAGTATGAGGGTTTGGGTGATAGAGACTTGTATTGCTGGCTTTAGGACAGCTAAGGGCCTGAGGCCTGGGTTGACCACAGTGACCAGGAGGTCTGCATGCAGTCTTCGGCTAGGTACTCAGTCTTTGGCCTCTTTTCAGATCGAGTTCACGCCTGAACAGATTGAAGGTGAGTAGAGTCCTGAGCCCTGAGGGTGGTGGGGGTGGACCAGGGGTGTCCAGTCCAAGGGTCCCATCAGTGGGGTGGGGGTAGGGTGGGGAGTGGGGTGGACTTCCTCAGAGAATTTCTACAGGTCACGGCCCTCTCCACAGAGTTCAAGGAGGCCTTCCAGCTGTTTGACCGCACACCCAAGGGCGAGATGAAGATCACATACGGGCAGTGTGGGGATGTCCTGCGGGCGCTAGGACAGAATCCCACACAGGCTGAGGTGCTCCGTGTTCTGGGGAAGCCCAAACAGGAAGGTATTGACCCTGCCTGGGAGCCCTCATTAGTGCTATGCTCAAGGGAGACTGCCAGGTGGGGGGCTATCAGATAGGATGGGAACCTCACTGCCCTGCCCCTTCCTGATTCCTCCTGTTGTCAAGATGAGGACATGGAGCCTGACTGCCAGGCCCTCAGTGCCAACCAGAATCCATGGCTGGTGTGAGGACACTGGTGTGAGGGGGACATGGGTCCTTGGCTTTCACACCTGCTAGCCTCCTCTGCATCCCCTGGTGGGTCTTTGTCAACTTTCCTCACCTCGGCTCCTTGCTTTGCCCCAGGGGGAGTGACACCCAGATCCTCATCACAGGTCTGGGGGAGGCCTCTGATGGGCTCAGCTGTGAGGGGTGAACAGGGTGAGGTCTATAATGAGTGAGACTTGGACATGATGATAAATACCTGAAATCTCAGCAATCAGAAAGCTGAGGCAAGAGGATGGAGGCAAGAGTTGGAGGCCAGTCTGAGCTACATAGTTCTAGGTTAGCCTGGACTACATAGTGAGACCCTGTTTCAAAAATCAAAACAAGCCGGTGTAAAGGTATACACTTTTAATCTCAGAACTTGGAAGGCAGAGGTAGGCAGATCTCTGTGAGATTGAGGCCAGCCTGGTCTACATAGTGAGTTCTAGGCCAGTTGGAGCTACAGGGAGATCCTGTCTCAAAAAAACAAACAAAACAACAAAATCAAAACAAAACAAACAACAACAACAACACACACACACACACACACATACACACACACACAAGGTCTGGGGATATAGTTGGTAGAGTGCTTGTCAAGCATACATGAAACCTTGAGTTTGGTCCTCAATAATGCATAAACAGGGAATGGTGGCACATGTGTATAATTCCTGCACTTCGGAGCGGAGGCAGAGATATCAACACAGATTTGAGGTCTAAAGAATAAAATAAAGGGCTGGAGAGATGACTCAGTGGTTAAGAACACTGGCTGTTTTTGCAGAAGACCTGGGTTTGAATCCCAGCACCCACATGATAGCTAACTATTTGTAACTCCAGTCCCAGGGGATCTGACAGCCTCTTCTGACCTCAGCAGGCATTGTATGACATGATAGAATATTATTTTCCAGGGCTGGACTTGATGGTAGCTCACACTTTTAATCCCAACACTTGGGAGGCAAAGGCAAATGGATCTCTGTGAGATCAAAGCCAGCCTGTTCTTCTTAATGAGTTCCAGGTTATAGGCAGACCCTGTCTCAAAAAGACAAAAAAAAAAAAAAAAAAAAAAAAAAAAAAAAAAAAAAAAAAAAAAAAAAAGGTAAAAAAGACGTGGTACCTGCCTATAATCCCGACACTAGGGAGGACAAGGCAAGAAAATCGCCATAGAATTCAGAACAGCCTGGTAAGCTTCAGGTCTGCCAGAAATACATAGTGATATCTTGTCTCAAAAAAAAGGAAAAAGGATGGGGGCTGGAGAGATGGCTCAGCGGTTAAGAACACTGGTTGTTCTTGCAGAAGACCTGGGTTCAAATCCCAGCACCCACATGACAGCTAACGACTGTCTGTAG